TAATGCTGGTTCTGATAAAAAGGTGTCAGAACAGTTTGTTGTGTATGGGGGGCTGCGATCGGTGTATGTGATTGTTTGCAATTGAATCATATATTTCTGCCATGAATATTTCTCCAGATTCGCCCCTGACTGCCAGAAGCATTTATGAAGTTAATTTGACTGCAGGGAGTCGGCTCTAGGAACTATTTCATGAAACAACAGTCAAACAATGAAAATGAGGAGCTCAGCACATTGCAGCATGCAGAACGCTTTGTAGGTCAGGCTTATCTCCTACAGTCTCACTGAGCATTCAAGTTTTTGTTTTCAACCTTGAATTTGGGAAAGACATCTTGCAGGACACACACACACACTTTATTAATTTCTATGACACAAAATAAACACATTACATCAAAGGAAAACCCCCCCCATTATAAAAACAGAAGACAGAAATTGATTTCGCTTCTTGCTGGAGGAGGCGTGAGTGCCTTTATGCTGATGAGGAAACACAGAGTTTCGAACAATAAAAGAGAGGTCAGCGGGACAGAGGCAGAGCTAATATGCACGGCAACATCGTCAGCTCAACCTTGCGGTACCCTTCCAGGCTACACATTAGTAAGCTGGCAGCACACACCTATCACACCTGCAAGCTGCTTCAGCCTATCAGCAGCTTGCCTCACAGCCGTCCTACATTTTATATCTCAAAACCCTCTTTGAATCTAAAAACTGACCGCCATTTATACATGCTGTCGAAATGTATAAACATGGCCTGGTAACAGAGAGAAAGACTTTCATGTGAGCCGCCAAGTGGTAATTACAAGAATGATTTGAAGATGACTTACATATAATAACAAGTCTCTTTGTTGTGGCTTTTCCAATTATTTAGCTCCCAAAAACTGAATTCAAGATCTTTCACAAGCAAAAATCCATGTAAACAAAAAGCAGACACGGATAATTAGCACCAAGAAACAGAGGGGATGCCTCTCATCGGAGACCGAGAGCCAGAGCCCAGGGCCCCGAGGAACTGCAACGCAACAGGATGGCCTGTGTCTGAGCATCCAGGCAGAGCGCCTCCTGTGATTAGTAAGAAACCTCCAGGGTTCAGCTTCAGTTGCTGATGTTAATGACCACAAACCAAGCCAGAAATCTCGGTGTTGTCATGGATTCAGACCTAAATATCAATAGCTAAATTAAGAGAATTACAAAATCAAAAGACTTCTGTTTCAGCAAGGTTTAGAAAATCTTATCTGGGTGTTTATCTTCAGTAGGTTCAACTACACTTTCTTTACTGGTCTGTCTAAAAGTCGATGAGACGGCTGCTGCTGATTCAGGATGCTGCTGCTAGAGTCCTTGCTAACACCAGAAGAGTGGATCACATCATCGCTCCGGTTCTCAGATCTTTACCCTGTGTGTCAAACAATTGAATGTTGGCTTATACAGCGCTGAACAGTTGGACGTTACTAACCGCCCTGACCAAAACTAAACGAGGAGAATCAGCATTCAGGTTTTATATGCCACGTATCTGGAGGACGTCACACATATCTCCAGCTCTCAGTTCATTTAACTCTTCTATTATATTCAACTCTAGTAAATCCTGTTTAAATGTTGCATTTTGTGTCTTTTCTTACATCTTATCTGAAGCACTTTTAATTGCTTTGTTGTTGAAAGGTGCTGTACACATAAACTTGCCTTGCATACTCCTCAATCCATGAGGGTACGTAGTGGCCATTTGATCTTACTTTGCCTTTAAAAAAAAGAGGCATTTGCTTATGAAACCTTTTAACAGATTTCCACTCTGGCGCTGGAGCATCATAAGAAGCTTTAAAGACGCTGGGCAGAAAGAGATGTGTGTTTTTAGTGTGGTGTAATAATATCCCTGTGCATGCAGTCACACAGAAACCTCTGAGGAATGTGGAAATGAAAGGCTGCACTGTAGGCAGATTCAAACTGGAGAGCAGATTAATGAATCTAGCATCTGCAGGACGGAGATTTATATTTGTGTTAATGAG